GAGGACAGCAATAAACAGAAGCCGTGTTTGGATCAGCGTGGGAACTTGCCAAATGAGGACAAGCCGCCTTAGCATGGGGTTAGAAAATAAACACAAGCTGCTGAGAGAATTCAGCCATGCAATGCTCTATCAATAAGAGGTGTCAAGGGCTGCTCTCGGGTGGGTTCCCCTTTTTATGATTTCTAAATTAGACTAGTCAGTGGATCTCAATGAGGATCTACAGTATGAGCAAGCAAACCCCAGGCATGATTCTGTATGTTATAGCTTTGATGTGGATATTAGTCATTTCCGCTAAGACCATGAATGTGCCCCAATTCACATTACTTCTGGCACTTCCCTGTAAACCAGACAATCTCTTTTCATATATTGAACTACAGGTCCCGGCCAGCCAGCCCCATGAGGATTCTCTATTTTTTTTTTTTTTTTGAAGCCCTGATTGCTGTATATGTAATTTCCCAGCAGGTTGTTAAAATGTCATTACTACGCCATATTTCCCTGTATACCAGGCAACCTCCTGTATTTATTGAACTACTAGTCTCAGCAATCCAACCCCAGGATTCGTATTTGTTTAGCCCTGATTATTGTTTATGTAATTTCCCAGCAGGTCGTTAATCTACATATTTCACTGTGCAGGCAAACTCCTGTATTTATTGAACTACCAGTCTCAGCAAGCCAACCCCAGGATTCTCATTTGTTTAGCCATGGTTTTTGTAGATGTCATTTTCCAGTAGGTCATTAATATGTTACTACTGCACCTAATTTATTTACCTCCCTATTTACCAGGTACCCTCCTGTATATATTGAACTGCCAGTCCCAGCAAGCCAACCTCATGATTCTCAATATTTTAGCCCTGATTATTGTTTATGTAGTTTCCCAGCATGTCGTTAATATGTCCCCTAATCGATATATCTCCCTGTATACCAGATAACCTCTTGTATTTATTGAACTACCAGTCTCAGCAAGCCAACCTCATGATTCTCAATTTTTATTAGCCTTGATTAATGTAGATATCATTTCCCAGCAGGTTGTTAATGTTACTGCTGCACCTAATTTATTTACCTCCATGTAAAAAAGGCAACCTCCTGTATTTACTGAACTGCCAGTTTCAGCAAGCCAAGCACTGGCACAATCCTGTTTTTATAGTTTTGACTATTGTATAAGTAATATCCCAGCAGGTCATTAATGTGCCACCACTACAACTTGTCTCTGTACTTCCCTGTAAACCATGCAATCACTTGTATTTTTTTGAATTACAAATCTGAGCAAGCTAACTTCGGGCAGAATTCTTCCTTTTTTTTTTAGCTTTAATTTTCTAATCGGTAATTTCCCAGCAGATCATTAATGTGTCACTATTGCACCTTATCCAGATATCCCCTGTAATCCAGACAACCTCCTATATTACCTGAACTACGAGTCTCAGCAAGCCTAACTCAGACACAATTCTACTTTTTTTTTAAAGCCCTGATTATTGTATAAGTAATTTCGTGGCAGAGTCATTACTGAGCCATCACTGCACCTTACCTTTATGCTTCCCTGTAAATCAGGCAATCGCTTGTATTTCTTGAACTACTAATTTGTAAAGACATAATATAATTATTGACAATAATTATTATGCAACAGGTTACTAGCTTTGTATATGTCATAGAATACAGTGGATCAGTACTAAATACATCGCAAAGTTTAT